AAAAAAAAAAAACTACATTAAATGCTTTAAAAATATTCACCAAGTTAGCAAATTAAAACTATTACTTTTTTTTAAACATCTCTTTGATTTTTATTCATCATAAAAAAAGATTATTTATTTCTATATACAAGAGTTGGGGTACAGGTTAGAGATGCAGGAGCGGGGGGTGAGAGGATTCACCAGAGAGAGTGGGGAGCAGAAAAGGCAGATCTACTGAATGCACTGCTGAGGGGAGCAGCAGGCTTGCAAGACAGGAAAGGTCTGCTGCACCAATGGGTCACCTCCCTAGCTGGGGACCAAACTCAGGTTGTAGTGGCTACAGACAGCTTGATAGAGCTAGACTCAACCTCTGCACCAAGGGAGACCAATCTCTTTGATTTTTAACGGAAATAAATATTTCAGATATTTAACTGCCTTCCATTTGGGTTCCCGTTGTTAATTTATTTACATCCCCCAGATGTTTATCAGTTGAAGTTTGGGTATTTTGATTTCTAAAGTCTTTTTATATATTAAAATAATAACAGCTAGAATCTACTGCTCCTCCTATAGAGGAGTTTACTCAGACACAAACATACAAAGATTAGTCCAAGGTCACAAAGTTAGTAAACTAATTAACTGTGATTCTAATTGGGGGAGAATTATTATTTGGGAGGTCAAATAAATAAAGTTCTATTATTAAATTAAAACAATAAAATCAGACTCATATCCCACATCAATATACCCCAAATCCCACATGAGTTATGGTCCAAATTAAAAAAATTAAACCATACAAGTACTGAAAGGATGAATTACTTTTTAACTCTGGTCAGAGCATTTTCCTATGCAGCGACTCAAAATCCAGTGGTGACCCAAGAAAATCCTAATAAATTTACATAAATTTTTTATGGTAAAAACATACCATAAGCAAAACAAGTAATAAACATGGAAGAAATAGTTCAAATATGTACCAGAGATAAAGTTAATAATTTAAAAATATTAAGAACTCTTACACTAAGGCAAAAGACTGAACACATATATCTACAGCTCAGATAATACTGTACTGATACTAAGCTGGGGGAAAAACAGAAATATAAAATAGCCTTCAAATATACAAAAAAATGTTCATTTAGTCATAATTAGAAAGACAAAATTAAAATAACACTGAAATACTATTTCTCATCGACGACAGTATCAAGAGTTAAAAAGTATGACAACATTCCTATATATTGCTGCTGGGTGTGAAAACAATCCTTCAAAGTACTATCACCACTACGGCCTGTGTTCAATTCCTGGCCAGGGAGTGACCCACATGCGGCACAGCAGACCTCTCCTGTCTCACCCGCTAACCCCCTCGGCAGTGTGTATCAGTAAATGTCCCCTAACTGCTCCCTACAGTCTGGTAAATTCTCTTCAAACCACTGCCCACTCCTCCCCCCACCTACACCCCAGTTATTCAGTACACAATTTTCTTCTGTTTCTTTGACCTTCCATTACATACCTCACCCGCCTGAGATTCAGAAAGTTCCAGCAGGAAGGGAATTTCTGTGTCAAAATTAGCAAAGAAGTTAGACCACTGATGTTCAAAAGTCACCAAATCCTAGGGAGAAAATGAAAAAGATAGTGTATAAAGGAGGTACTTTAGAAATCAGAACCAAAATCACATCTGATTTCAAATTATCAGACCATTTAAAAATGTTGCTTTAAAAAGCAGTCACAGGCCCTCCCTGGTGGCGCAGCGGGTTAAAGCAGCACAAAGAAGCTTAAACCACTTCCGCATGAGTTCGATCCCCGCCTGCCCTGGAGGAGATCCACATGGCGAGGCAGACCTCTCCTGACCCACCCGCTGCTCCCCTCAGCAGTGTACTTCGTCCATCTGCCTGTTCTGTACCCCACTCTGTCTCTGGTGGATCCTCTCACCCTCTGCATCTCTGGCCTGTACCCCAGTTCTGTATGAATAAATAAATAAATCTTTAAAAGATAAAATAAAATAAAATAAAAAGCAGTCACAATGTTATCACATGGATGTATCTCAAAAATATTATGCCAACTGAAAGAAGTCAGATATAAAGAATACTTAATATATGGTTTTATATAAAATATAAACCATTTATATAAAATACCCAGAAAAGGTAAATTTATAAAGACAGAAAGTAGATCAGTTTGAGTAAGGCATGGAAACAGACTACAGTTTCCAGAGCACATGGAATCTTTAATGGTTTGATGAAAATGTTCTAAAACTCAACTGTGGTGTTGACTATACAACTCCATAAATTTACTAAGTTACTAACTTACATGCATGAAGTGGGTACATTTTATAACATATAAATTATACTCCAATAAATTTATTTTAAAAAAGGACAGTGAAAAAAAAAAAAGGACAGTGATAAAGTGTTAGCTAGGTTAAGCAAAAGAGTATTACACCCACAGACTCCTATGGTTCAGTGTGAAAACTGAACACCTCTTGAACACTAGAGCTAGTAGGGACACAGAGTAGATTCATGCTTCACTAACAAGGGGTGGCTGCAAAGAGACACCCGAAGCTGTTGTCCAGGTGAGAGGCTGCATTGCCAACCGAGGCACTGCCACTTGAACAGCTGCTAAGCTAGTGGGCCTAGGGAGGGAAGAACTGACTGTGGAAATGCCCTTGACTGAGGGAAAAATGTATGAAGAGCTGGGGTGCTCCCAGCAGGCTGGTCCACAGTGAAAATAAAAGGACAGTATGCTGAACTGTGGTAAGGAAATAACCTACCTGCCCAATGAGATGAATTGATTAAGAAGACACGGGGGCCCTCCCTGGTGGCACAGCAGGCTAAAGCGCAGCACTAATACAAGTTGCTGCAGCCTCTTCAGTGCGGGTTCAATCCCTGGCCAGGGAGGTGACCCACATGGCGCAGCAGACCTTTCCTGTCTCACCCACTGCTCCCTTCAGCAGTGTACTTCGTCAATCCCCCTTTCCCGCTCCCCACTGTCTCTGGTGAGTCCTCTCACCCCTGCACCTCTGGCCTGTACCCCAGTTCTATATGCATAAATTAATCTTAAAAAAGAAGACAAGGTGTGCACACACACGCGCATATACACACACAGAGACAGAATACTACTGAGCTACAGAATAAGATGAACAATATGGATGGAACTGGGAAGGATTATGCCAAATAAAATAAGTCAGGAGAAACACAAATACCAAATGGTTTCACTTACTGTGTGGAATATAACATACATCATTTTAACATATAAATACTGAACACTTAATAAATTCTTACTTCTTTTTTTTTTTTTTGAACATGACCCTGGGTTCTGTTTGCTAATATTTTACTTAAAATATAGACATTAACATTCACAAGTGAAACTGGTCCTGTAGTTTTCATTTTTTTAGGTTTTCTTAAATTGTTTTGTTGTTAGGTTTTGATATGTTATTTTCATTAAAAGGCTATAAACTGGACCTCCCTGGTGGTGCAGCATGTTAAAGCACAGCATTAAGAAGCTAAAGTCACTACAGCATGAGTTCAATCCCTGCCTCAGAGGTGACCATATGGCGATGCAGACCTCTCCTGACCTGCCCGCTGCTCCCCTCCGCAGTGTACTTTGTCGATCTGTCTGTTCTGCTCCCTACTCTGTCTCTGGTGAATCCTCTCACCGCCCCTGCCCCTCTGGCCTATACCCCAGTTCTGTATGCATAAATAAACAAATCTTAAAAAAAAAAAAGAAAAAAGGCTACAAGCTGCTTTTTTTTTTCCCCCACCAGAGGTAGAGTGGGAAGCAGAACAGGCATATTAATGAAGTACATTTCTGAGGGGAGCAGCAGGCGGGTCAGGAGAGGTCTGCCACGCCATGAGATCTCCTCCAGGGCAGGCGGGAATTGAACTCATGCAGAAGTGGCTTAAGCTTCTTAGTGCTGTGCTTTAATCTGCGCGCCACCAGGGAGGGCCCACAAGGTGCTTTTTTTCCATGCAAAATCTACCCATGGCCACTGAGAGATACTACAGAGCTGCTTAACCACAGTACCTATTCCAGCAGTTTTAGTTTTGCTCCACCCACCTTAATTTTTCCTTCAAAGTACAGATGAACAATTAATGTCTGACCCTCTAATCCGGGAGTCAGCAAATTATGCCCTGTGGGTGGGCCACATATTTTTATAAATAAAGTGTCCTCAGAACACAGACACACCCAGTGGCTTCTGCATTGTCCCTAGCGGCTCAGGCTACAATGGCACTGATGAGTAGTTCCCACAGAGAGGAAAAGCACACAAAGCCTGAAATAATCATTTCTAGTTCTTTACAGAAAAGGTTTGCCCATCCTTGCCCTAATCCTTGATTTCTTTGTCATATCCCATCTTTTTATCCTTTCACATCAGAGAAACAGTGCAAAAAGACACCTTCTGTATCGCTTTCTTAAAGTTCAGCCCATCAGAAATTGTCTGTAAGTGAAAATCTAAACCCTGGACCAGGCAGGTGGCCTTGGTATTGCCTCAGGTGAGACTTCCTCAGAGTGGAAGAAGTAGAACAGCTTCTCCAGCTTCCCTTCCACACCCAAGGAGTTCAAAGTAATTGGGAAAGAAATCACTGAACTTTCTGACTAAAGCAAACTAAAAATATATCTTGCATTTCTTCAAAGTAATTATCATTACTGGATAACTGAGCTGGGTGTAGGATTTATAAGATAAAAATAAGCTGGCTCCTTACTTCTGAAAGCAAATGCTCCAGAGACATTGTGTCCATCTTGCTGTAGACATTCCAGAGATTCAAACTCACATCCTGCAACTGTAACACAAAGGCGAAGAAAACACTGAACAATAGAGACAGTATCAGGACAATCAGGATTCTTTTCTGATGTTCAAAAAATGATGACCTTGGTGAAAACTTAATGATTAGAATAAATCAAATTATTATTAACTGTTTTAGGACCTTTATATATTAACTAAATGCTGTCATTTTTAAGGAAATTCTCTTTTCAGGATCTTTAACACAACTTTCAAATCTCTTTAATGATGGGCATATATACACCCATCATTGTTTAAAATAAAATCTTAATCAAAATATTACATATTCATATTACATATTACACAACCATCACCAATTCCTTCATTTTAAATAGAACCAATTACTATTCTCTATCCTTCATTTTTATCATCTTCCTCCTTACTGACCTGATGTAACTGGCTTCCTGCTCTGTGTTTTGGAAGTTTTCAAACCGTCAACTGATTTAGAGCAGGTGGGGGTCACTTTAAAAATATACACTTTAATTATACTATTGAATTCTGATTTATTACAATCATTCCTTACATGTCCTCCACCTTTAATTCTGCTTCCTCTGCCTACTATCTTTCTTTTTACAAGTGCCATTAAAAAGTACAGAAAAAATAATTTTCTCACTTTTTATTTACTGAAGAAAAATTATTTTTAAAAGCATATGCATAGCATATTCCTGCATGCAATATGCTATGGTCTCTTATGTTTTGTTGTCTTCTCATAAGTCTTAGTTTACCTTTCAATATGAAGATCTTAACATGCATCTATAAAAAGGTGACTGAATGCTTGCTCCATCGTTACTAACATTATCCAGAAGTTTGCTATTAAAATTGTTTCTTTGGGGAGATAGTGATATAAATTTACATTACCAGGTCACAGTAAGAAGGAAGGTGGAGACAAAGCCCTAGAAAAGGAACTTCCCTGTCCTGTTTCCCATGAAGAAGAGAGCTCTTATACCATAACTAGTTTGGAATGCACTAAATACCAAGTAAAAGCTATTTGGTTCTGGCTAACTTCCTCATGTTGACACCTACAATATCAGGGATAAAACATCCTCTGAATTACTGACTCTCTTCTGGGTATTTCCATGCAATAAAACAAATTTAAAAACTTAAATTATAAATCTCTTCAGTCCTCCTTCAAAGGAGGTTCAAGCACTTATTAGCTGTTAATATGTGAATCAGAGTAGAGTACTACTTCTTACCTAGAAAGACAGGGAATGGCAGGGTAAAGAGGAGCACTGAAGTAGGGAGAATGAGATGGAGACATAAGTATCCGAGAGGAAGAAAATTAGCAGAGACAGAGAAAGCAGGGTTGGAAAAAGGAATCTTGAGAAGACTTACAGTAATGTTTACTACAATGTGTTATTTCCCCCTCACTGCCCATACTACCCCCTACGGCCACCACCCTGGAGTAAAGATCCATAACCTTGCAAAGGTTTTTCATAGGGGATTTTTACTTCTTTTGGGTATGTTTTCCTTCCTAAAGCAGGAGTGAGAGGCCTATTGCACTTGGGCTGCATTAACCGGGCAGCTTACTAGGGCACTGATTTCCAACGCTAATCTAGCTGCAGCCTGCGGGATAAGAATACAGGACTCTCTGTAAAAATAAACTTTGTAATAAAAAAAAAAAAAATCCAAGCCAAAAAAAAAAAAAGAATACAGGACTCTGAAGTCAGACAGTCTAGACTTGGCCACAATCCTTCCTTTATTGGTTACTAAGTGCTCTCTGACCTTGGTAAGTTCATTTAATCTCCCTCTTCACAACAGATAGCACTCACTTCAGAGGGCTATTGTAAGAAATAAAGTAAATTCATATAAAGCACTTAGAACAGCACCTGGCATAAAAGAGGCACTCTATGAATGCTCACTTTACACAATTAAAAATACATATTACCACTACTGCTAAAAATTTTAAGTTTCCTCTCTACCTCCTGTGGCCTGCCTGCTTTAAATCTTATACTCCTGTAAACTAGAGAGCATCACTCCTTTCTAGGGCAATCCCACAACCCTACTCAGAGTCAATGTGGGAAAGTATGGTTTGGGAGCCTACACCACTTGAACTCTCTGGTCCTAAAGCCCATGCTCCTTCACATTTCAAGGTCTGCCAAGCAAGTGTCCTCTCACTTCCTAGGGATGCTGCTACCTCTCAGGAGGGGCAGGAATTAGCCTTGTACTTTGCTTCCAAAGCTCCCACTTATTCTAATCCTGATAGTATTTCCCCACTTATAGCATGTCAATGTCTCTTTTCCCTGATTTCTTGTCTGGGGCAGGTTATCACAGTGGGACTCCTATGGAAGCAGTGGATGCCTACGGTATTACTAACCTACTAAGCCGTCTTCCTTAATGTGTACTTTGGATGACCTCCTCCTGGACTCATTCATTAATCCAATGAAAGAATATTTATTGGTGAACTCTGAGATGCAGATAATGATAAAATAAGACACTGTTCTTGCCACAAAAATTAGTCCTTTATTCCTCTAGCACATAGTACATAAATTCTGCATTGACCCTTTCATTACTCTTGGATAATTCTCAATTTTTACAAATTCCTGAGATAGAAACAACAACAAAGATTCTTATTCTCAAAGAGCTTCCAGTGCAGAGATCAAATGCGGGCTGGTGAGTGAATGGGGTTTGTGATAAAAGCATAATATAACATAGGATGATAAAAGCCATAAAGAAGTCAGCCTAAGGTGCAACAGGAGTAGACAGCAAGAACAGTGAACTGAAAATGGGGAAAAAGAAAGGACAGAGAACTCCACAAAGAAAGCCCGCTGGGAGCTCAGTTTGGGGACTAGTCTTAAACAGCAACTATTTTCCATTTCAGTTTTTCTAGCTTGCTCTATATCCTTGGGAGTTCACTGCCAGCCTTTCAGGCTTTTATAATGATGCATGCCCATTTTGTGGGCTCTTCATAAAAACAGTCTAGAGGCAGACAAAAAACAAGCATACTTCTTCTCATACATACCTCGTATTTCATGGTAAAAAATCCATCCCCTCCAATGCCTTCAAGTGCAAAGGCCTGTACAATTGGCCATTTCTCCACTACAAACATATCAAATATCTGCAAGTGACCTAAAGGAACAGAATACAACATGCATCAAATACCACCTTGGATGTAAGTCTAACTAGTATGCTTAGACAGGCATGATTCTCACAAGTCTACCAACACCTAATGTAACAAAAGAAAACGGAAACAGATAAAATGTGTTAGATATTAAAACTAGAAAATACAAAATGCAAGGCAAGGAAAATTCAAACCATAAATAAGTTACATAAAATCAGATTTCTCTATGATTATCTTTTCACATTTCAGTTTTCTAAGTAAATAATTAGTGGTCTATTACATCTGACTTGCATCATTTAGTGGCCATAATTATTAACAGACCCAAGGTTGGCTCCTCTCTTTTAAGAAACACAGCCAACTTCCTCAAAGGAAAATTAGTAAATAAAAAATTTTCCTCTCTTAGTACAATAGCTTCAATATGCAAAGTTGTTTTTTTCAATGTATAAAGTTTTAACAATTAAGACACAAGCAATATTAAACATGCTCATTTTACCTATATTTTCACACATTTTTTTAATCAAACATCAAGTATATTTTCGACAGCTATGTGAATTAGTGTACCTCTTTACCAAAGGTCACACATCTACATCCTATGTATTAATATAGTAAGTGGCACAGACTAGATGCCAGCTATGGTAAATCCCTATCAGCTCTTCTATCTAACTATAGGCATGGTGTATGTTACTGTAGAGAACTTCAACTATACATGCAAGCTTGCATAGGAAAGTCTTCAAATTTTCTTCTGCTCAATTCTTTGCCTTTAGTAAAAATAAATCAACAGGCTTCTCAGCAGAAAGACCCCAGTGACATGAGTAGTGGGACACTCAACTGACACAGCCTCCCAGTGTGCTCTAAAGTGGCTCACTGAGATACCTTGGGAGCTGTAAGGAATGCCAATTCTACTACAGTCTCGAGTCATATCCACAAAACTGGCAATTTTAAATTCCTCTGCAGCTTCTTCATCTTCATACTAAAGGGTAAAATGGAAAAGAAAACAGGCTTTGATGAGACATCACACAAAGTCCCAATTTCCTCTGCATTTTATCAGAACTGTCCCAAATGCCAAATGGTGCACCCAAAATGGTGCTTCCCAATCAGTTTGCTGTTCAGAAACACTCATTTCTTTAGCCTACACACCAAATATTACCTCAAAGTAGGTAAGAGACCAAATGCAAGAGATACAACTTGTTCTTAAAAATCCTCTAAATGCTGGGCCTTTCCTGGTGGCATAGTGGGTTAAAGTGCAGCATATGAAGCTGGCTGCAGCTCAATCCCCAGCTGGGGAGCTGACCCACATGGCAAGAATTCCCTGTCTCACCCACTACTCGCCTCAGCAGTATACTTCATGGCTCTGCCTGTTCTGCTCCCCACTCTGTCTCTGGTGAATCCTCTCAGCCCCTGCGAGTCTGGCATGTACCCCAGTTCTGGATGCATAAGTAAATAAATCTTAAAACAAAAAAATCCCCAAATGCTCAGCAGAGAAGGGTTCTTGACCATTTTTGGGTCACAATATCCATGAAATTCTGAATCTCAAATCCCAACTTGATTTCCAGCCAAATTCTTGAAAAGGGCCCAAAGGGAAATAGAAACAGTTACCAAGAAATCCAAACACAGCAATGTCAGTTTTTGAAGTTCCTCAGCACTGGTCGCCTGAGAGAACAGACCCAGGCTGATATGAAGCAGGTTCACAAACCTATTGCCAGGTTTGTTTGAGCAGTTTCTGTGGTCTCCTTACACCTACAATTGGGTGTAGGGATCCACAAGGTATCCTTATAATGAAATATGAAATGTTCTGCTCCCCTTAAACCATAACCTCAGTTATGGTTTTACAATCTGGATTTTTTTAGAGCATTCTTGTTCCAGATTAACACTTTCCTGAGAAAATGTTTTGGGTGTCTATAAATGTCTATTCTAGCTTTTCTCCTCACCTCATTTTCAGTCATGCAGTGGATATGCAGATTTCTCCAATGTGCCACGTAGGGTAAAAGATAGCGATAGTTTACAGGATTACAGTATAGATGGACACTATCTGATTTAATCAAAATAATTACATCTGTAAGAAAAAATAAAAACACAAGATCATCAAAAGCATTTCCTTTAGACAGTTTTTGCCCATATAAGTCAAGTCATTAAAACTACTTCACAGACAATGAAACAAAACTGGAAACTGAAAATTCTTTAATTAGGCAATGCAATTCCAAAGTGACCACAGAACACTCTTAGGTGTGGACAGCCAGGGTTTCCTAGTCCTCATGAGATGTTCTCCTCACTGTGGCCCCTGTTTGTGGCAGCACAGGCAGGCACAAAGTCACAAGAGCTGCTTTCAGGGTGTTTCACAATAGTCAACAGAGTGAAATCTGTGGCACTAAATTCAACTGTGTACTTCTCTACAGATCTCAATACCAAATGGAAACTCCACAGCCTAGACTCATGGAGAGGGAAAACAGCACTAAACAGCCGGGTAGCTGGGGTGGATTGCAGGTTCTCATGGAGACACCAGTATCTGAAGCTCTTGCTGGGGCTTATCTGGCTCAAGGCTACCATGTGCCCAAGAACGCTGCTGCGCATCAAGCTTTGGGAGGGTGACTGCTACTGGGATGAACTCTATACACAGGAAAGGCTGGGAGGAAGGAAGTAGAGGCAAGTGGACAGGATTTCTATAAATAGGTGAACAGCTCATATTTAAGGAATAATCATCTATGCTGGTGGGACAAACAAGCAAAGCAAATAAAACAAATCTGTAGGGTGCAAAGTCAGGTAAACAAACAACAGAGGCCCATATGGAGGGGGGCAGGAACATTAAAACGGCCTGAACACTGACAAGAAAGCAGGTTTTATTTCCAGGAGCAAAGCAGAGGCTCCATTCCATAGCTTCTCAGAAACCAGAGCCATCAGGCCTCTCTTTGACAAGCTGATGCTAGAGAAGTTGCAGCAGGAGGTGGCTGGATATTAGGGAGAACATGGGCATGGGGAAGCCGCTGAGATAGCAGGTGTAGGTGAATGCCATTATAGTAATGGAGTAGGACAGACCATATTCTACACATATTATAGACCAATGAACACTGACCACAGTTGCTCACACAGCTGGGTAGTCTCTGAAATAAAGCTTCATGATGTAAGCCACTATGAACTCTACACTTGGCAAGACCCAAGGTGTTCCAGGAAACATGGGCTCTTAGATTAGCACTGAAGTCAAGAGTGGTAAGGGTAAGGTGGGAAAGGGGTCTCCCCTCATCTCTCTTCAAGCTGGTTCCCCACACAGACCCTCTAAAAGACTGCTGGCTGAGGAGCATCTGACGTCACCTGGAGAGCCTGCAGGCTTCCTGCACAGACTGCACTGTACACTAATGTGTAACATACCTCTAAGAATTAGGATAAAAAAAAAAAACAACATTGCAATGGCTAGTAAACCTAATTAAGCATTCTCAGGATCTCACAGAATTTATGTTAGCATTATGAATGAACATTATGAACAGAAAGTTTAACAAAGTATACAGGTCAAAGAAGAAAGAGTAAGATTTAGATGTGCATGTAAAAAAGTATTTTTGCAGTTCTTTTTAAAAAATAAATCATGGTGGTCTCTTTCCCTCGTATATTTTAGAGGCATAAGTGTAGAAACATAAATACAGTAATCTTTTAGCTTTCTAACTATTTGGAGTTAAAAATAAATTCATTAATTTGGAAGAAACTGCTCATTTCATAAACTCCATTGTGTCTGATGACAAAGACAAAGATGAACAAAAACCACATCTTTGAAGATTTGAATTCTTTCCTTAATTTCAGCATTGTAATGTGCTTATTAGCAAATTTGCCTGCACTGAAACATGTGAGTGGCATGAGAATCCTTGTCTTTAGAGCTCTCTAAATGAACCGCAAAGAAGCATTCTTTCCAAACTAGTGGACGCACAGAGGGTAAGGGAAACATTTTTCAAATTAAATCTGAAATCAAATTTGAATTCAAAGAAATTAAACACAAGGAATAATTTTAGTCTGCTCTTTCTGTAATTCCCAAGAAAGGAAATCTTTAATCAGTGTGTAAGGATTAATACTGCAAAGGGTTTCACCACAGGAGAATTTTCACACACAACAGACCACACACAAACACCCTCAGCACTACTGATGTTTAGACCAGATAATTCTGCTATGGAGGCTGACCTGTACTTGTATGTAGTAGCATCCCTGGCTACTTCCCCTCTGCTCAGTTGTGACAATCAGAAATGTCTTCAGATACTGCCAATATCCCATGATTGATATAAAACTGTCCCCACTTGAGAACCACTGCGTTAGACCCACAAAAAGATTTTAATGTACTTATGCTAAAATCAGATGTTTACTTCAAGCATCCCCTAGCTGCTTCACAAGAGCTATCTATTTCTTGTCCAGTTTGCTTTGTCTATTCCTGTTTCCCAGCCTGTATGGCAGGCAAGTCACAATCTTAAGTATGTGACAGCAGAGCTAGCTCCTGGGCATTAGCCCACAGCAGCATCAACACAGGCTGAGTGTCTCAGAGCTGACAAAAGGGGAATGTAAGCAGAAAGCCTGCACTGTAGTCATGGGCATCGTCATGAATTAAAGTCACACAGAAAACAATCCCCAAAGACAAAGCAGGACAAAGAGCCTTTATTCCTGAATCCACGAAAGTCTTCCTTGTGAGAGAAGCCTGCAGGTTCATCCTTGACTCACAAGTGAAAGTGCTTTCACAGAACAGCAGCACATAATCTGCACCTCTCAGCATGTAGAAGCAGTGGGCAATTCAGATAAAACTAATTCTTTGCCAAGAAGAAATATAGCCAGACAATGTTTACTTTTTCCCTAAGGCTGATTTATTCAGTAAACATATTCTGAAAATGACTTGTCATTTGCCTCTTATCAAATTCAGCAACTGAACAGGAATATATTACTCAATAAATCAGCAAGGAAGAAACATTATTTTTATTAACAAAAAAGCAAAAAAATCCTTAGACTTGAGGTTATGCAAATCTGTTCATATTTTTCCAGAAAAAGACCATGAAATAGGAAACAAAGAATAAACCACCTACCCCCTCACAGTTTACCAATATATACTTACCATCTAGAACTTCTTCAGAAAATCCTGTTTTCTCAAAATCACTGGGATTTTGATTGTACAAACCAAACAGAAGATAATTTGCCAGCTCTCTGCAGCCTTCATTGTACCTGCTATCGATTCCTGCAAGGCAAAGGAAGTGCTAATTAGCTCTACTATACTACAGAACACATGAGCCCCAATAATTTGCCCCACTCAGTAAAACTACAATGGTCAAGTTAAAGACACAAGTTAATGTCAATTTTATGCCAGAAACCATGCTAAGTGCCTCTCTATGAAAGAAGTAGGTCTAAGTAAAGAAGTGCCTTTACTTAGATTCAAGATCCACATAGTTGAGAGTCAAACAGCACAGGTTATTGAGGCTATTAATTCCCAAAAACTAATTCTTGAAGATAGAAGGAACCAGACAAAATAGTCAAAGTCCTGTTATGGCTGGCAAAGGTCTTGTGTACTTCCTGTTGGAATAGAAATAGGGTCAGAAAATACTCACTTCTCAAAAAGGCCTTTACCAAAACATGTGGGGTCAACTAAAGACAGATTAAGATGGGTTATAAAAAATCCAAAGAAGTGATGAAGAGGACAAGTGAGTGGAACCACAAACACTCATCAATTCAAATATTTATCAAGCCTAAGGTCCAGCACTATATTGGTTGCTAGAGTGTGGTAAACATGCCTGCAAATGGTCCTCATAAAGTTTACTGTCTATGGGGCTGGGTGAGAGCCAAAGAAAAAAAATACCTAAACAATAATGCCTTCACTACTGCCTCTCAGTACCACAGGAATGTATACTCCTTGGTTCTGGAGTCTCTGTGAAGGCCCACAGGTATGTATGGCTTTGGGCAAGAGGGCCATGTCAAGGACAAGTGGTAGCAGTCTGTATGATGTAAAGAGGAGGAGTCACAAGAAGGAAAACATGGCTGGAGGCCAGAAACAGGACAGTGAAAATAGTGGTCATTCAGAGCCAATGAGCTGCCTGACTGCCCATCGAAGATTTCTAATATGAAGGCGAGCTGAGTAAGAGTTGCTTGGGAGGGCATTCCAGGGGTCAGAGGACTAGATTAAACCAACTGTCCAATGAACAGAGTGATGCTACGGCAATTTGAATTACCTGGAATAGAATTTATTAAAAGTCAGAAACTGTTTAAAAATACACAAGTTCTTCACTGATTTCTTGCTTCTCTTTCACATAAAACTCTGTCCTACAGGTTTAAGTTTTTACCTCCATTTTCATACCCAAGCCAAACACATCAATTTCTACATTTGTGCTTTTGTAAAAAATTATGTATATATTCTGGTCTCATGATATCCTACAAAGTGGACTCTTTTTCAAACCATTAACATTCTATATTTCAGTTCCCACCTGATCAATTTTATGCCGCTTATATTCACTAGGTTGGGGCTTACCAGCAATACTAACATATATGACAGGTTTTTTTCCATAGGTTAAATTCATAGCAAAGAGAGCCTGCACCCTCTTGATGGCCGCATTTGGAGAAAGAATCTAGTCTCTGTTGTTTAGGTGTTTGAAATCTCTGACTAGTCCAACACAAAGTTTACCTATGGAGACTATTAATCTCTAGGCAAAGTGAGTGGTGAACCTGGGATTCAAACACATTTCCAGAGTTCATGATTTAACCACTCTGTACAATACCTCTCATAAATTTAAATGCAAGTGTGAAGTGAAAAAATTATGCACAAAATATCTGGAAAGAAACTGATAGCAATTTGCTTCTAAGAAAAAAATGGCTTCTAAGAAAATCAAACCATCTGACCTACAATTTCACTTCTCAGGCTCAATACTATGGATATAAATAAAAATGAGGTAAAGAAGATTAATTTGGTAATTAAAAGCTTCCAAGATATACTGTTAAACATTTTTAAATTAGGTTAAAGCACTATGCATAACATATTTTAAAAAAATTAAACAAAAATATGTTTCCATTTGTGTTTCTTAAAAACAGAAAGATAGCTGACAGTGTTACCTCTAGGGAGCAGGACTGGGTGTCTGGAATGGCTAGAAGGCTCTGTTCATTATTAATAATTGACATAACTAATAATTATTGAATTAATAATTAGATTAATCATGAAAAAATGTTCAGTTCTTGCCATTCTATGGTCTTGAGCAAATCTGTTTTATCTCCTAGTGTTTCCTCCTCTGTAAATAAGGGTTAACGCTGGTCTGTGTACGATGTCTGTGAGGAACAATGAGGTAAATGTACAATGCTCCTGTTCTTTACTAGGGATTCCCTATCTTTCTGACAGTTCTCCCAAAACAGCAACTAAACTAAACTAAAACAGCAACAGATTTCAGAGGAATAAGGGTGGGAGAAAGACATTAACTCACAGCTTATCTCAGTGACAATATTTAACAGCTTCCTGTGACTAGAGGCCAAGATGCCTCAGCCCTGAGTCCCACCTTTTTAAAATCACTGACCTAGGATGCAGAGAATCCCATCAGGTCTAGACTTGCTGCTCTGGGTCAGGATACTCTGAACATGGCGGAGTCGGCTGCAGCTGTAACAAGAACAGAAAATACCCCCTGAGCGTAAGAAGGCATGAGGAGGGGGAGGAGTGACTGTCAAGACAGGAAACTGGTCCTTGACTGGTTTTGGTGTCAGAACTATAAACGAGGGGAAAGTTTCTTTCTCTTCCACTTTCTGGAAGCGATTATGCAGACTGGTTGGAAGACTGAACGTGACCTGTTGATTACAAACTAGGCAGTCAATGGCTTGCTCAAAAGAGGAAGGAGCAAAGCCCGTTCTTTGCCATGTTAGACAGGCCTGGGACTCAGCAGATGACCCAGAAGACCTATTATGGCTTCTCATTTTTCAGGTTCATCAACAAAGAGCTTTCACACTTATTTGCCCTATGGTCCCCGGTCCCCATCAACCTGTTAAAAATAAAAATAAAAAATCAAGCAGATAAACAACAATTGGTGTAAGAATCTAGGAAAGTTAAGTTCTGATTCATTATAACTACCGCTTAGCGTTTCATTAGCGGGTACTTTCATTTCTGTGCAGATCTATTATTCCTTTGGTCTTAGAATTATCCCCTCCCTCTCCCCCCCCCCAAAGTGTAAGGAGAAGTGCTCCCAGACATTGATACTATTTCTCAGGAACTCCATTCTGGCTATACCAACCCTTGTTCAACTCTGCAGTTCCAGAGAGAGGGGCTCAGTTTCCTACATAAGACTGATCTATCAGTTCCCTTATCAGCTCCAGGTGCAAGATTTGCCTCCACTACTCATTCCTTAATCCTCCCGTATTTAATGATGCCCTATAATCAACGCATCACCAGTCACACCACATCATTATTAACTAAGATTCCCCACAAACCAACTATACTAACTGTTTCACCCATGACAATCAGACCTTATCACCACCCATCACTGAATAATCTCCAAGACACTGACCTACATCATCCAGCTAAACACAATTTCTGCTCCTTGTATTCCCCCCTTCATCCTCCCCACAATTCTTTCTGATATTCCCAAGTTCCAAGCCAACTGCTCCATGATTTTAGTGCTTATTTTCACTAACTTCCTTCAAGGTGTTAACAGGTTTCCACCTAATACCAAAACAAAGACAGTGCCTACTCCTAAAAGTCCCACAGACTGGGGCCCTCCCTGGTGGCGCAGCGGGTTAAAGCACAACACTGAGAAGCTAAAGCCACTTCCGCATGAGTTCAATTCCCGCCTGCTCCGGAGGGGACCACATGGCGTGGCAGACCTCTCCTGACCCGCCCGCTGCTCTCCACAGCAGTGTACTTCATCAGTCTGCCTGTTCTGCTCCCCACTCTGTCTCTGGTGAAGCCTCTTACTGCCCCTGCATCTCTGGCCTGTACCCCAGTTCTGTATGCATAAATAAATAAATCTTTAAAAAAAAAAAAGTCCCACAGACTAATACCCAGGGAAAAAAAGTAAAATCTAATAAAATACTAGCAAACAGAATTCAACAACATAAAAAAATATGGGCCCTCCCTGGTGACTCAATGGGTTAAAGCACAGCACTATGAAGCTGTCTGTAGCTACCCCAGCACGAGTTCAATCCCTGGTCAGGGAGGTGACCCACATGGCGCAGCAGACCTCTCTATCTCGCTGCTGCTCTCCACAGCAGTGTACTTCATCAGTCTGCCTGTTCTGCTCCCCACTCTGTCTCTTGTGAATCCTCTCATCACCCCCTGCACCTCTGGCCTATACCCCAGTTCTATATAAATAAATAAAATTTAAAAAATAAATAACTATACACCATGATCAAGAGGGGCGTATTCCTGGAATTCAAGGCTGGTTCATTATTGGTAAATCAATCAATGTAACACATCACATCAACAGATTAAAGAAAAAGAAAAGCACAAAACCATATATTGATAGAATTGATTGAACAGACATTCCTTCAAAGACACACAAATGAACAATAAGTACATGAAAAGATGTTCACTAATCATTAAAGAAATGCAAATCAAAACCACAATGATACTACTCCCACACAAATTAGGATGGTCACTAACACGACAAAATAACAAGCACGAGCAAGGATGGGGAGAAACTGGAACCCTATATAACATTGGTGGCAATATAAAATAGTGCAGCCCCTTTGGAAAACAATTTGACAGCTCGTCAAAAATATAAAAATAGCATTACCACATGATCCAGAAATTCTACTTCTGAGTATATACCCAAAGGAACTGAAAGCAGGGACTTGGAAGAGGTATTTGCACACCCTGTGCATTAGCAGCGTCAGTCACAATAGTCAAAAGTCAAGTAGGATAGACAGATGAATATGTAAGCAAAATGTAGTACATACATACAATGGAATATCATTCAGCCTTAAAAAGAAAATTCTGAAATGTTTCAACAGGAATAACTCTTGCAGACATTATCCTACCTGAAACAAGTCACAAAAGCACAAAAAAATGTATGAATCCATTTTTATGATGTGCCTAGCTTAGTCAAATTCTTAGAGACAGAGTAGTGATTATCAGAGGCTGGAAGAACATAGTGGGAAATTAGTGTCTCATTGGTACAAAGTTTCAGATTTGCAAGGTGAAAACAGTTTTGTATATGAGTAATAGTGTGTAGCAGAAGAATGTGAATATACTTAATACCACTAAATTGTACACTTAAAAAATGTTAAGATGGGCCCTCCCTGGTGGCACAGTGGGTTAAAGCACAGCACTAAGAAGCTAAAGCCACTTCAGCATGAGTTTGATCCCAGCCTCCAACGTGGCGCGGCAGACCTCCCTGACCCCATGCTCCCCTCAGCAGTATGCTTCGTCGATCTGCCTGTTCTGCTCCCCACTCTGTCTCTGGTGAGTCCTCTCACCACCCCTGCACCTCTGGTCTGTACCCCAGTTCTGTATGCATAAATAAGTAATTTTTTTAAAAAAACTGTTAAGATGGCAAATTTTGTTAACGTATTTTAACACAATTTTTTAAAATTTTAGGTTAAAAAAAGGCAATGCCAAATAAAAAGGAAACAAAGAACAGGTTAAAGATTAATAAAAACAAAATGCAAAATATGAACCTTATTTTGATTAGGGAAAAAAAAAACAACGGACAACATCCCTCTCATCTGGAAATATGTGAAACTGGACTGAGTATTTGAGGACATTATGGAATTACTGTTAATTTTCATGAGATAATTTTATTGAGGTTACATAGGAGAATGTTTTTTAAACAAATGCACAAGGCAGTACTACATAGTGAAGTGACATGGTATCTGCAATTTGAAAAAGGTTTAATAGAAAAGCAGCACGTGGAAAAAAATAATGCATATATGTAAAATGTTTTAAAATGCTTTATCTAAGTGGTGGGTATAATAAGTATTCATTTTCTTTGTTTCTGTACTGTCTGAACATTTTTATAATAAAATTTCAGAGACTCAGGGAGACATAACTTAGGGTTTTACAAGAGGCAAAACAGAAACTTCAAGACACCAAGAGTAAAGACAGAAAACTTCCTTCCCTGGAAAATGGGTGCCCTGCCCACTTCTTCATGTTTAATGGAAGACTGATCTTGCAGTCACTCTCTGCACTAGAAATACTTCACCAAGTTAGTTCTTTGGCCCATTTCCCAACCCTCTGCACAGTTGGCTGACTGACTGCCAATGTTACCAAGAGCTCTTTGGTTTTCAAACTTATAACCAGCCAGTGACAAAAAGCATGAATAGGCCATGTGACTAGGAAACAAACAGCTCCCCCACTACTGCTGTGGAAAGCCCAGACAATACTGAAAACAAGAACAAAAAGAGCTTCTTTACACAAGTATACTGGCCAAATAAAGTGGAAACATAAAAAGTATAGACTTCCCCCTTTCAGAATAGAACACTATCCTAAATACTGTCTCCTACTTTCATGTCAAATGGTGAGAACTAAAGTCTTTTTTGCTTTGTATATTGTCTTAGTTCCCAATTTTAATTTTTAACCAGAAATGGCCTATTATTTGTTACGAAACCATTAAAGCTGTCACTTGCTGAAATATTTACTTATTAACACAACTATTTTAAAAAACCTATTAAAAAATAACCCTGGTGACAGAAAATATTTCAGTGATTGCTTAAGGTTTGGGCTAAATAGTCTTCAGGGCAATGGGAATTGAGCACTGATGGGGACAGATTTCCTATAGGACTGACAAAAACATTCTACACTAGACTGTCATGTTGTTTGCACAACCTGTGAATATACTAAAACCACTGAATTGTTCATATACGAGTAAACTATATCTCAATGAAGCGATTTCAAAACTCAAAAAAAATAACCCTGGTAAGTATAAAGAAAACCACAATCACCCACTCATATTCCCAAAATCCAGCATTAATGTTGTGGCATATTGCTTTTCTTTATGTCAGTGCTTTCTTGAATTATGCATATAAAATATTAATTTTCCTCTGTTCATGAAAAAATGGAATATTACATACAAAACTTGTCTTCATTAATCATCATCCTAAGAAGTCAGCACTATGAACTCTGCTGCTTAGTCATCCAATTAATTTTTTAAAAAATATACCTCAAATCTAGCAACAGCACCGGCTTCTAGCTTCTTGTAGCATGGCTGCCAATCCTATGTGGATGGCCTGTGGTCAACCACTTCACAAAGTTCCTCCTGTAGGGGTCTCCCTGGTGGAGCCAATTCAAGCATAGCACTACTAAGCTAGCCACAACTGCTTCAGCGCAAGTGTGAACCCTGGGCAGGGAGGTGACCCACATGGCACAGCGGACTTCTGTCTCGCCCACTGCTCCCCTCAGCAGTGTACTTCATCCATTGATCTGCCTGTTCTGCTCCCCACTCTCTCTCTGGTGAATCCTCTCACTGCCCCTGCATCTCTGGCGTGTACCCCAGTTCTGTATATATAAATAAGTAAATTTAAAAAGTTCCTCCTTTTTGGCCCTCCCTGGTGGCGCAGCGGGTTAAAGCACAGCACTAAGAAGCTAAAGCCACTTCTGCATGAGTTCCATCCCCGCCTGCCCCAAAGGTGACCACATGGCGTGGCAGACCTCTCCTGACCCGCCCACTGCTC